GAGCTCCCCAGGGGTTCCTGGTGGCCCTGGTTGGGTTCCTGATACCCCCATGGAGCTCTCAAGGAGTTCCTGGTGGCCCTGGTTGGGTTCCTGATACCCCCACGGAGCTCTCAAGGAGTTCCTGGTGGCCCTGGCGTGTCCCCTCACCTCCTCGTTGAAGAGCCGCCCGGCGCTGTCCTTCTTGGCCAGGTCCAGGCACTGCACCTGGCCGGCCGAGAAGCCCACGAGCAGCGCCAGCGTCTCGGCGCCCGCCGTGAACTGGTTGAAGTCGTGGCACGTGGGCTGCGCGCCCTGGTAGACGCGCTTGTCGATGGGGCGCTGCAGGTCCAGCGCCTGCGGGGACACGGGGACAATGGCACCGCCACCCCGGGCACCGGCGCGGTGGCACCGGCGCTGTCACTGTCACTGTCACTGTCACTGTCACTGTCACTGTCACTGCCAAGGGATGTCACCCACGGCGCTCCTCAGGGACTCCGTGCCCACCCTGGGCCACCACTGGGGGTGGCAGGAGGGTCCTGGGGGGGTCTGGGGTCACTGTCACCATCCCCGGGGTCACTGTCACCCTCCCTGGGTCACTGTCACTGTCCCTGGGGTCACTGTCACCCTCCCTGGGTCACTGTCACCATCCCTGGGTCACTGTCACCGTCCCTGGGTCACTGTCACCAACCCCGGGGTCACTGTCACCATGCCTGGGGTCACTGTCACCGTCCCTGGGTCACTGTCACCGACCCTGGGGTCACTGTCACCCTCCCTGGGTCACTGTCACCATCCCTGGGTCACTGTCACCAACCCTGGGTCACTGTCACCGTCCCTGGGTCACTGTCACCCTCCCTGGGTCACTGTCACCGTCCCTGGGTCACTGTCACCGTCCCTGGGTCACTGTCACCCTCCCTGGGTCACTGTCACCCTCCCTGGGTCACTGTCACCGTCCCTGGGGTCACTGTCACCGTCCCTGGGTCACTGTCACCGTCCCTGGGTCACTGTCACCCTCCCCGGGGTCACCTTTGCCTCTCAATCCCCCCGTTCTTCCCCCGCTCCTCCCGGTTTTCTCCCGTTCCTCCCCCGTTATTCCCCAACTTCTCCCGGTTCTCTCCCGGTTCCTCCCCCGTTATTCCTCCCTTCCTCCCGGTTCTCTCCCCGTTATTCCCACAGTTCTCCCCGGTTCCCGCCGGTTCCTCCCACTTCTCCCGGTTCTTCCCAACTTCTCCCCGTTCTTCCCCCGTTCCTCCTGGTTCTCTCCCGCTTCTCCCGGCTCTCTCCCGGTTCTTCTCCCGGCTCTCTCCCGGTTCTTCCCCCGTTCCTCCCGGTTCTCTCCCACTTCTCCCGCCTCTCTGCCGGTTCTTCCCCCGTTATTCTCCCACTTCTCCCGGCTCTCTCCCTGTTTTTCCCCCGTTCTTCCCCCACTTCTCCCGGCTCTCTCCCGGTTCTTCCCCCGTTATTCCCCCACTTCTCCCGGCTCTCTCCCGGTTCTTCCCCCGTTATTCCCCCACTTCTCCCGGTTCTTCTCCCGTTATTCCCCCACTTCTCCCGGCTCTCTCCCGGTTCTTCTCCCGTTCTTCCCCCGCTTCTCTCCCGGTCCCCCGGTTACCCTCCGGTTTCCTCGTCCCCCGCTCCCATCCCCTCCGTAGAAATGCAGCTCCCGGCCGAGGTTGCAGCACACGCGGCTGCGCTCGGCGGCTCCCCCGGGCGGGCTGCGGCTCCGGGCCAGCCGCACCACCGAGAGCCGCACCGGCGGCAGCGCGGCGGGGCCCGGCGGGGCGGCGGCGGCGGCGGCGGCGGGGCCCAGCAGGCGGTACGAGCCCTCGCGGGTGCGGAAGCGGCTCTTGAGCGCCGGAGCGGCCGCGGGAGCCTCGGCCGGGCCCGGCGGCTCCGGGGCCGCCGCCGCCGCCGCCGCCGCCATGGCCGGATCCGCGTCAGGCCCGGGCGGCGGCGGGGCCACGCCCACGGCGAGCAAGCCACGCCCACGGCGGTGGGGATGGGCCAATCAGCGCGCGAGAGGGGCGCGGGACGCGGCCAATGAGAGGGGGAGGGCGTGGCCAAAGGAGGGAGGGGAACGCCCGTGGTGGGGAGGCCACGCCCACAAATAGGGAAACCACGCCCACAAATCGGGAAACCACGCCCCAAAACAGGGAGACCACGCCCCTAAATGGAAACCACGCCCATAATTAGGGAAATCACGCCCCCAAACAGGGAGACCACGCCCCCAAATGATAAAACAACGCCCATAAATAGGGAAACCACGCCCACAAATAGGAAAACCACGCCCCAAAAAAAGGAGACCACGCCCACAAATAGGGAAGACACGCCCCTAAATGGAAACCATGCCCACAAATAGGGTAGACCACGCCCCCAAATGATAAAACAACGCCCATAAATAGGGAAACCACGCCCCCAAAACAGGGAGACCACGCCCCTAAATGAAAAACCACGCCCCAAAAACAGGCAGACCACGCCCCTAAATTGAAACCACGCCCACAAATAGGGAAACCACGCCCACAAACAAAATCACGCCCACAAACCACGCCCCAAAATGAAAAACCACGCCCATAAATGGAAACCACGCCCATAAATAGGGAAACCACGCCCCCAAACGAAAGCAACGTCCACAAATAGAGAAGACACGCTCCCAAATGGAAACCGCGCCCAAAAATAGGGAAACCACGCCCACAAATAGGGAAACCACGCCCCTAAATAGGGAAATCACACTCATAAATAGGGAAACCACGCCCCCAAATGGAAACCGCGCCCAAAAATATGGAAACCACGCCCCTAAATGGAAACCACGCCCATAAATAGGGAATAACGCCCCTAAATGGAAGCCACGCCCACAAATAGAGAAACCACGCCCACAAATGGAAACCGCGCCAAAAAATACGGAAACCACGCCCATAAATAGGAAAACCACGCCCCTAAATGGAAACCACTCCCACAAATAGAGAAGACACGCCCCTAATGAAAGCCACGCCCCAAAAAAGGAAATACACGCCCCCAAAGGAGACCACGCCCCCAAATGGAGCCACGCCCACAAAAGGAGAAGACATGCCCCCAAATAGAAACCGCGCCCAAAAATAGGGAAAACACGCCCCTAAATAGGGAAATCACGCTCATAAATAGGGAATCCACGCCCCTAAATGGAAATCACGCCCATAAATAGGGAATCACGCCCCTAAATGGAAGCAACGCCCACAAATAGAGAAACCACGCCCACAAATGGAAACCGCGCCCAAAAATAGGAAAACCACGCCCACAAATAGAGAAACCACGCCCATAAATGGAAACCACGCCCATAAATAGGGAAGACACGCCCCTAAATGGAAACCACTCCCACAGAGAAGACACGTCCCTAATGAAAGCCACGCCCCAAAACCAGGAAATAAACGCCCCCAAAGTAAGGAGACCACGCCCCTAAATGGAAACCACGCCCCAAAACAGGGAGGCCACGCCTTTAAATGACAGCCACGCCCCAAAAAGAGGAAGACACGCTCCCAAAATAAGGTGACCACGCCCACAAACGAAAGCCACGCCCACAAACAGGGAAGACACACCCCAAAATATAGAGACCACTCCCCTAAATTAAAGCCACGCCCAAGAACAGAGAAAGACACGCCCCCAAAGGAGGAGACCACGCCCACACATGAAAACCACACCCACAAAACAGGGAGACCACGCCCACAAATGAAAACCACGCCCCAAAACCAGAAAAGACACGCCCCAAAAGCAAGGAGATAACACCCAAAAATGAAACCACGCCCCCAAATGAAACCACGCCCCTAAAACAGGGAGACCACGCCCCTAAAACGATAGGATGCCCCATGGACGCCCCCAAAAATGGAAACCACACCCAAAAACGAGCCCATGCCACCCAAAGTGAAACCACGCCCCAAAACATGGAAGACACGCCCACAAATGAGGCCACACCCACAAAATGAAACCACACCCCTGAGTGCTGGAAACCACGCCCCCCAAAATTGAAACCACGCCCTAGAACGTGGAGACCACGCCCACATTCGGCTCAAATCCCAAATCCTCAAGATTGGAAAATTCCGCCCCAAATCGAGGCCACGCCCCTAAAATGAGGCCACACCTGTGATTGGTGGAAACTACACCCCCCAAATGAGACCACACATGTGATTGGTGGAAACCACAGCCCCAAAATGAGACCACACCCCCCAAAATGAGACCACACCTGTGATTGGTGGAAACCACGCCCCCAAAATGAGACCACACATGTGATTGGTGGAAACCACGCCCCCAAAATGAGACCACACATGTGATTGGTGGAAACCACGCCCACAAATGTGAGACCACACCCCCCAAAATGAGACCACACCTGTGATTGGTGGAAACCACGCCCCCAAAATGAGACCACAGCTGTGATTGGTGGAAACCACACCCCCCAAAATGAAACCACACCTGTGATTGGTGGAAACCACGCCCCCAAAATGAGACCACACCTGTGATTGGTGGAAACCACGCCCCTGAGACACAAAACCCACCCAAAATTGGAATAACCCCGCCCCCTGTACACAGACCACGCCCCCACCATGCAAAACCCCGCCCCAAACCACCTGCAACCCCTCCCCCTCATTTGCATACCCCAACCCCACCCCCTTGGTGACAAAACCCACCCAAATTGAGGCCACGCCCCCATCCCTTTGGCCCCGCCCCCAAGAAGAAGCCACGCCCCCAAAGCTCCGCCCAGGCCTTTATTGAGCCCCGCCCTGGGGAGGGGTCCCGGGGGTCTCCCCCACCCTTGGGAGGGGTCCCGGGGGTCTCCCCCACCCTTGGGAGGGGTCCCAGGGGGTCTCCCCCATCCTGGGGAGGGGTCCCGGGGGTCTCCCCCACCCAGGGGAGGGGTCCCGGGGGTCTCCCCCACCCTTGGGAGGGGTCCCAGGGGGTCTCCCCCACCCCGGGGAGGGGTCCCGGGGGTCTCCCCCAGCCTTGGGAGGGGTCCCGGGGGTCTCCCCCACCCTCAGCCCTCGGAGGGTCCCTCGGGGACCCCCGGGAGCCCCTCGGGGCTCTGGGGGGGGGGGGGGGGCGGCTCCGAGG